ACATTTGTTACTTGATAAAATTTTTCAGTGCTTTTGTATTGTATTATTGTATACAATAAAATTTAATTGTCGATGTAATAATTGTTTATCAAGACTTAATTGTATAAGTATTCTTTCCTGTCCGGGAAGGGGAGAAAAGGAAAAGTCGGGAGGAAAATGAAAAGCAAGAAACGTTTCTGATCATAATTCCGATGACCAACGAAAGTGTATGAATGTTTTTTTTTTTTTTTAGTGAGGTATCGTTTTTTCCAGTGAATTTTTTTTTTTTTTTAGTGAGGTATCGTTTTTTTTTTTTTTTTTAGTGAGATATCATTTTTTCCAGTGAGTTTTTTTTTTTTTTTTAGTGAGGTATCGTTTTTTTTTTTATTTTAGTGAGGTATCGTTTCATAGGAGATAACTTTCCTGGCGACAAGTAGTAATTACTTCCCTGTTATATCAAGCAGTGTTACGACTTACTGAGTTCGATCCTTACTGGGTGCCCCAGATTTTCGTCCTTGTGCCACATCTAAGCTATGTTTGGAAAATCGCTATATCAAGCAGTCTTCGTTAAGAGTGTGGGTATTTCCGCTTGTTGGTGTTAGGAGGGAAAAAAAACAAGCATTCAGTTTGTTCTCGTCTTGGCTGAGGAGGAAGTGACGTAGGGCGTTTCTGATTGGTCACTTGCTATTTCAAGATCAGCATTGGCAGCTCTTTATATGTCCGTTATTGTGTGTTTGGTGGAAATTTGCTTCAGGATGGCCTGCCGGAATAGGTATTGTTCCGGTAGGGTTCATTGGGTGGTCAAGTATGATGTTGAAAGACCTGAAACTTGTCATGACCGCAAGTCATAACATCACTGATGAGGCGATCCTTCGCACCCGCTGGAGGGTATTCATAACAAACTAATCTGAAAATTAATATTATAATGATAAATTTTGATCTTAACTCCCGAGTGCTAAATATCCCTTAAAATTTTGCAAAATCGTCATAATTCCGTGCAAATATACATGCTGAACTCGAATTCGTTCCCCATTACTGCCATCATGAATACTCATTCGGTGCGGGGTACTTCCGGCCTATTTACTTCTTTTACAGACTTTCCTTGCAGAAAATCACTACGCACTACCGTAAAGAAATGTAATTTTTTTTTTGGTAAGTGTAGTTTTATTTATAACAAAAACAAATTAAATAATACAATGGAACCTTTTTTCCGTTTCGAATAGCAATGACAAATTAAAAGAACAAATTAAATAATAATAATAATAATAATAATATTTATATTGTAAAATTGAAAATAAAACAAAAATTAATGTACAAACTTGGTAAAGTAGAAGGGTTGATTGTATTATTTCATTTTTTTAATTTGTCCCCTTTTCTACACAGAAAACCCCAACCCTGATCTTAACACCTAACACTAAAGTAAATCTTTAGGGTTAGGTGTTAAGGTTAGGCATGTTTTTTTTTCTGTGTAGAAAAGGGGACAAATTAAAAAAAAAAAATAATACAATAAACCAGATGAACTTTAAGGTTAGGGGTGGGGTTTTCTTTTTGTGTAGGGGATAAATTAAAAAATAAAAAGCATTAAATAATTTACCAAGTTTGTGCATTAATTTTTGTTTTATTTTCAATTTTAAAATATAAAAAATGCTTTATTTTTATTATTTAATTTGTTCTTTTAATTTGTCATTGCTATTCGAAACAGAAAAAAAAAACGTTTTATTGCATTATTTAGTTTGTTTTTGTCATAAATAAAACTACACTTACTAAAAAAAACCCCAAAAAACAACAACATTTTTTTACAGTAGTGTGTAGTTATTTTCTGCAAGGAAAGCCTGTAAAAGAAGTAAATAGTCCGGAAGTACTCCGCACCGAATGAGTATTCATGATGGCAGTAATGGGGGACGAATGACCAACAAGAAGTCCGATTTTTTTCTTGTCGATAACTCCAAAACGGTAAGGTTTCTTCATAATTTAATTGTTAATTCGAGTTCAGCATGTACATTTGAACGGAATTATGACGATTTTGCAAAATTTTAAAGGATATTTAGCATTCAGGAGTTAAAACCAAAATTTACCGTTATAATTTACTGTTCACCTACTTTTGGTTCACCCCGTACAATGACTTCATCCACTTTACCTGTGGCCTTGTGCCATAAAAGCTTAGAAAATATCTGTAACAGCCTGGCTTCTCTTTCACATGCCCCAAAACATGCATGGATACAAACACATATTTCTTCTGTGCAAGCGCGGGAAGTTTTAATGGTTCCAAGTCATAGACTTTTATTCTTCGCTAACCAATTAATGTTGGCTCGTTTTCTTTTAGGCTGAGGCATTTTTATTGACTTTACCTTTCTTTCTAATAGTGTGAAGTTGTCGAAATGAAAAAAAAAGACTATCTTCTGATTTTTTTTCATGTTATGAGTAAGAAAAACCAGTCTGGAATAAATCTTCATATATTTATTTCGATGATTAACTGCTTTTTTTTTTTACGAATCCCTGTCAACGATACAGGCTATTTATACCCCAATACAAGCGAATTGATTTTAGGAGATCGAACATTGATTTCATTAATCATAGATGAATGAAATAGCAGGAATCTATTGCCAATAGCTTTGAGAATAGTCAATAACATTCCGAATTTTGTTCGGCACATTAAACACATTTTGTTTGTCGAGGGTGGGGAAGATCGACCAAAAACTTCGATCGAAAGACCACAAAGGATTTCCGTTGTCCGAAGAAAATTTGGAATATCAGAAATTTATTTTTCATTTTTTTTTTTCAGGTGTTTATATCCCCGGAAAAATATCACACACTGCACGAGAGAATCTGGGCACTTCGACGTGTGGTGTAATGATTAACGAGCTTCTCTGATTAGTGATCCTCACTAGGTGCCCCATATCTAGGGACTTACGGCACATCAAAGCTACGCTAATTAAACTGCTTATTAGGCACTTCGATATGATCTAATGAATCAATTACGATGGAGTCGTGAGTTAGATCCTCACGGGTTGCTCCATACTTTAGGCTTTGTGCCACACCCAAGATACACTTAGAAAATCACAGAACAATAGAAGATTGGGTACTACAGTACGATCTCTAGCGAGGCATTTACGCCCTACCGTAAATGATGATGATGGAAAATACTTAGGAAAAACGATGACCCGTTTACTGTTTTTTAAATGACATCAAATCAGTTTACAAACATTAAAATCACTTTATTTACATTATTCGGACTATTGCCCTCATCTTTGTCGCCATATTTATTACAAGGTCTCGGCCGTTGTACGATCCGGCCTTCTTCAGGTGGTTGGGCACATGACACAGTGGACAAAGGCGGTGGTTGGATCCAGTGACAGGACCCAAAGAGTGTGAGTTCAATACCAGGTTAAGGCAGTGGAGAACTTTCAGAGGGAAATTAACAGGAGATAACTGATAACTGACATCCATTAAAACATGGCACGTGGAACTAGAACAGTCTACGCCAGTGAGCGAAATAAAGGGTTCAGTTCGACACCGGCCGAAAAGTTGTAATAAATATGGCGACAAAGATGAGGACAATAGTCCGAATAATATAAATAGTGTACATAATAGCTCATCTCAGAAATATAGACAGATACTGAAAGGCCGAAACGCTGTAATAAATATGGCAACAAAGATGAAGACAATTGTCCGAATAATATAAATAGTGTACATAATACCTCATCTCAGAAATATAGACAGATACTGAAAAGCCGAAACGTTGCAATAAATATGTCGATAAAGATCAGGACAATAGTTCGAAAAATGTAAATAATGTCTATAATACCTCATCTCAGAAATATAGACAGATACTGAAAGGCCGAAACGTTGTAATAAATATGTCGATAAAGATCAGGACAATAGTTCGAATAATGTAAATAATGTACATAATACCTCATCTCAGAAATATCGACAGATACTGAAAGGCCGAAACGTTGTAATAAATATGGCGATAAAGATCAGGACAATAGTTCGAATAATGTAAATAATGTACATAATACCTCATCTCAGAAATATTGATAGATACTGAAAGGTCGAAACGTTGTAATAAATATGTCGATAAAGATCAGGACAATAGTTCGAATAATGTAAATAATGTACATAATACCTCATCTCAGAAATATCGAAAGATACTGAAAGGCCGAAACGTTGTAATAAATATGGCGATAAAGATCAGGACAATAGTTCGAATAATGTAAATAATGTACATAATACCTCATCTCAGAAATATAGACAGATACTGAAAGGCCGAAACGTTGTAATAAATATGGCGATAAAGATCAGGACAATAGTTCGAATAATGTAAATAATGTACATAATACCTCATCTCAGAAATATGGACAGATATTAAAATCACTATTTGATTTTGTAAACTTTTTATATAAAAAATTGTTAATGATTTTTAATACATAACCATTTCGTTGTTCACTGCCTTTAATCCTAACCCTAACCCCTAATCCTAATCCCTAACCCAAACCCCTAACCCTAAACCCTAACATATTTTATACTTCCAACAATTGGTAAATGCTATACCATAGCAGAAAATAAATAGTATATATCATACTATAGTAGAAAATGGACGGTAGATATCTTAATATTTTAGGTTTAAAAATAATGACGTAATAATGTCGTTTTTGACGTATTTTTTAACGTCAAAAAACGACATTCTTACGTCATTATTTTTGCACCAACCTAATAGTAGCACGGATGATTTTTAAAAATTTTTTTACAGTTACACGAAATGTTTAAACGAGCTGCCTGCGACAATGACACCCCCCCCAAAAAAAAACGAAGGGAAAACTGTGTGGAATTTGAGAAACACACAGAAGACAACGCAGACTAAAATGGAAATGTGCAATGTGGCACCTTGGACCATCCACTGGTTGGTTTTTAGATGACATTTTTGGGCTGATCGCCGTGGCAGTAGAAATTGGCGAAGAAGTGACCCTGCTGTCGAAAAATCACGGGGTAACGAACGAAAACCCTCTGAAAAAATACTTCTGATGTATCCATGTGATTCAACTACTACTACATCGACTACTACTACATCTAATACTACTAGATCTAAAACTACTACATCTAACGCTACTAGATCTACTACTAGTATATCTAACATTGCTAGATCTACTACTACTATATCTAATACTACACGATCTACTACTAATATAGCAAATCTACTAGATCTACTACTACTACATCTGCCGCTACTAGATCTACGAGTATTATATCCAATGCTACTAGATCTGCTACTACTATATCTAATGCTACTAGATCTACTACTAATTTATCTAATACTACTAGGTAAAATGCTACTGTATATACTGCTACTAGATCTACTACTACTATATCTAATACTGCTCGATCTACTAAAACTATATTTAACGCTGCTAGATCTACTACTACTATATCTAATACTACAAGATCTACTACTAATATAGCAAATCTACTAGATCTACTACTACTACATCTGCCGCTACTAGATCTACGAGTATTATATCCAATGCTACTGGATCTGCTACTACTATATCTAACGCTACTAGATCTAATACTGGTATATCTAATGCTACTAGATCTACTACTAATTTATCTAATACTACTAGGCAAAATTCTACTATATATACTGCTACTAGATCTACTACTACTATATCTAATACTGCTAGATCTACTACTACTATATCTAATTACTTGATCTTCGAAATGGGAAAAAGAGAAGAATGGCAAATAAGTCTCCTACTGTAACGCTTGCTGACTCGATGGCCAAACTGATCCTCTTTTACGGATCTTGAAATCCTCCCTCCTGTCAGCTTGATTGGAAGAAGTCATCAATCATGGCTCCAAAACCGAACTAGTTCCAGATCAAAATATTTTGCTTGTTATAGATAGATGAAAATTTTACTCACATGTGTGATTTAAGCTGCCCTGTCCAATTTAATATTTGTTTTTAAAACTCCATTAATAAGCATGATCGTATATCTTCAAACATGTTTAATGAGCGTCATCGTATACAGTTACGCATGTCTGCGCAGAGAATATATATAGTGAGAAACCGATGCTATCATCCCAGCCTAGAACAAGTGCATTAGGACAAACTACATAAAAGCGAAAACTAAAGACATCCAAAAATAAAATATAGATGGCGAAGCCTTTGCGAAGAAAGAGGTTAAACATTCCGCCAGATATTCAGTGAATATAGTAAACTGTCTAAAAAAGAATGCAAAAGAAGACAGGGTAGGGTGGCAACACTTATAGACTGGGAACTATGCAAAATACTTCGGTTGGATTATGCAGTCGAAGAGTATGATCCCAAAGAAGCTACCTTCCCGATCAGCACGTACAAATAAACTGGATAAGATTATTGGGAATAATTAATAAAAGAACCTACCAGATTGTGGACTTTAGGTTACTAGCAAGTTGTTGATTGAATATTTATTAAGGAGAGTGAGAAATTGGATAAAAACAACCAGGAGCTGAGAAAGTTAGAATCGTGTTCAGAAAAGGAGGTACACGTAGAATTGTGCCAGAGGCTCTGAATCCGAGATTGGATGATTTGGAAAGTCGGGGGAAGGTTTGTAACTATAGTGATTCTAGAGTTGTTGGGGTTTGTGAAGATACCGAGGAGAGTGCTGGATATTTGAGGGGACTTGTCATTCAATTCCCAACCTTGACTATCGGACATCCAATTCGACATGCAAATGTATGTATGTATGTATGAATAATAATAATAAAAATAAAAATAATAATACAAAAACGATGTCAATATAACCCTTTTCCTGGTCAGTACTCCGCCCGTACCAAACAAGTTCATGTAGACAAATCCCGTAACCATCAGTGGCTAAAAAAGTTAAAAGCTGAAACCGAACGTTTTATTCTTGCTGCACAGGACCAATATTTGTTAACTAGAAATTACCAAGCACACATACAGAAAAATTGTGTTAGATCAAAATGAAAATTCTGGGATAAATATCCAGGAAAAAAATTAACCATCTTGTATCAGGTTGCGCGGTACTGGCACACCTTGAATCTAAAACTCGGCAAAACAGAGTGGGCAAATATCTGCACTGGAAAATCTGTAACATCTACGCAAAGGAAACTGAAAGAAATTGATATGAACACCATCCAGACCCGGTTACGGAGATAGGACCTGATATAATTTTATGGGACTTTAAAATACACACAGACTGAACAAAGCTAATCGCCCTGACATCGTGATTAGAGACCGCAAAGCCAAAATGTGCTTCCTTATTGATATGGCAGTCTCTGCAGACTATAAAGTATCTTTGAAGATCTTAAAAAAAAAACTATCAAAATACAAGGACCTTAAAATCGAAATCTCAAAAATGTGGCACATAAGAACATTACCAATTCCAGTTGTAGTTGGAGCCCTCGGTTTGATTGGAAAAGATTCCAATAGACTCATTGAGTTAACCCCTGGTAGCCCATGCCTTAAAGAAATACAACAAATTGTACTCACAAGTACAGCCGACACCTTATGAAAGTTTTTATCTATGTAAAATATGTGCGATTTCTCTATCAAAACTGCTCAGTGAAAAATGTCATCATGCCATTTCTGACCTTAGGTCTCTGGTCGGGACCCGGAAAGAAATGAGTATGCACTAGAAGCCAAAGGAAATAAAATCATAATAATTATTTAAAGAAGAAAATCAAAAATGAATTTTAAGTGAAGAAGAGCAAGTACAGCGTAATCTACCCAATGTTGCGACAAAGAACGTAAAAAGAAAGTAAAAACAAATGCAACGAACTAAATGCAGAAATGAATAAAGATAAAACACTTCATGGTCAATACTCTACAAGTGCCAAACAAGCTGATTTTTGTATTGCCCGTTTGTAGAAGAGACTTTTAAAATCACAGATACGACAATTGTAACACCTTCGAACAATACTTGGTCAGACGCTGCCAATTTCCATATGTATATTTTTCCTTTACCCGTCACGTGATTTAATTATTTCAAGATGAGGTTGAATGTGCTTGCTCTCTGGCAATCAGTTTTCAATCCCAAATGTCGGCAAAAACAGTTTATTCCTATACGGCACTTCTCCTTTGAGATGACTTCCTCTGGAGTTTTCTTTATTCAGCTTCGTTTCAATATTTAGAAATTGTGTTGCTATTCTTTTCCTCTTACCATAAAACCTTGGTTCAACAATTTGAATAATTTAAAAAAAATTCTGCTGTTGTTTTAATTGTTATTGCTGCTCATGTTGTTGTTTTTGTTGCTAAAAGTGTTGTTCTTGTAGTTATTATTGCTGTAACTGTTGTTCTTGTTGTTGGTTTTGTAGCGTCAAAATTCGAATCATGATAACATTTAGTTCTTCCATTTTGCTGTACTCCGCTGAATATTTGGTAGATTAATTTTTGAATAACTTTGCCTGGTTATTTCTCTGTAGTCCTGCAAATATGGCCCTTCTTTGGTGAAGTGCTAAATATTACTGAATATCCTCTTACGACGGGTAGGATACGTATATATTATTTTTTCCTTGTGTAAGTTCAACGAATATTCGTCGCCACTTTTTAAATGCTCAATTGTAGGAAAGACTTTGTAAATATAAGATACAGCAATAATAACGCCTTCGAATGATACTCCATATATTTCCCATATATATATATTTTTCCTTTATCCGTCACGTGATCTAATTATTCAAAGATGAGGTCGACTGTACTTGCTCTCTGGCGATCCGTTTTCAAACCCAAGTGTCGATAGCGACACGTTTTTCCTATATGACACCGATGTAGACTTTTGTGATGTCAACAAACACTCTTTGCCACTTTTGTAATGTCAACGGATACTTGTTGTCAATTTCGTAATGCCCGTTGTAGTAGAAACTTTGTAATCGCAGATACAACTATAGTAACGCCGTTGAACAATACAGGTGTCAGACGCCTTCGAATAGCACTGGCACTAATAGTACCTGCTCGATAATACTCGCTCGAATATTAACTACAGTATAGTGATCTGAATAGAGAAATAGTATAGTGAATATAGTAGAGAATAGCGGTCCGTATAGTAATATAGGATAGGATAGAATGCTGATCCTTATAGTAATAGAGGATAGAGCAGAAATAGTGATCCTTATAGTATTAGAGGATAGAGTAGAAATAGTGATTACAAAATTATTATTGTTATTATATTAAAGCTGCCTGGTAATAGGTGTTTATTCTCATGGTTACATATGAAAATTATATCTGATCATATTGTTTTAAGGTATTGAATATGCTGGGGGAGTAATAAAGATTGTAGTGGATTTAAATATAACAAATAAACCCCCATTTTTTTTTTCAAAAATTTAAAAATAAATATAAATAATAATAATTTTTACCTATCATAATTTTACACAAACCCCACCACACGTATATACATACACGCGAGGAAATATTTTTCAGCGGAAAAATACATAATATGACATGTATACATTCACGAGACATTCACGAGACATTTCCGCCACACTTCCAATGTTTAAATTTCAACATTTCAACATACAAATACGTATGTATAGACATAACATCACCCGTATACATACATATGTCATATCCGAAACTGCCCACATATGTTTATATATGTATGAGTCCCGACGGACGACCAAGTATGTATATGTGTCTGCATATATCGATGTTTGCGTTAGTACGGTGAATGACAAAACGATGAAATTTCCCCCACCACTTCCACAATAACACCAATACACGCAATCTACATAAACCCAAATTTTTTAAAACATTAATCAGTTTGTCTGACGATCGCTAAAGCGTGAAACCCAGGGTCACAAACTCACATCTATCCAACCAAATATATATATATATATATATATATATATATATATATATATATATATATATATATATGAACAGAAATTATAAAATATAAATAATTTTAGTTAGTTGTGTTTTTTCCTTATGGCCGGATATTATCCGGCTAGTTTATATTTTTATTATATTTTTTATTATATAATACCATAAATATTATACGATAATGGTAACGCTAATATTCAAGTAAAATTAAACAGATCCCGATTGGCCAGAATTCCTCTATAGAACTGAATAAAAGGATCTCATTTGCATAGGCCCAGATATTGTTTACAATTTATGCAATCATGTGGAAGTTATACCAGAATGCTGGTCGAGAAATGATCGTTCTCGGTTGGGCCCATGAGAGAGAACGTTTCATGCCATGGACGCCCGAAACTTTCTCTGAGCCCAGAATAGACATCACTGAGGAAGCATTCTGGCGCGCAAGTTCTGCGTTTAAAACGAATAAAAATATTACCTAGGCTAATATTCCTGAAGCTTAAAACGAAAATTCGAGTAAACTAAAGCATTTCTGTTTATTTAAGCTCGAAATATTATCGTCCACTGCAGATTTTTATTAGTTAGCATTCGCTATCTATCTATCTATCTATCTATCTATCTATCTATCTATCTATCTAAAGAAAGTGATAGACTTTCTATTTATTAATCCGTCATAAATGATTGACATAATTAATCCGTCATAATGTTTGACGGGCCGAAAGGCCAAAGAACGCCAGATCTAATGACAGTTTCACCTAGGAGAATACAGATTAGAAACCTATCGGAAATTCCTCGGATATTCAGGCCGATAGACGAAAACAAATACTGTTTAATAAATAAACAGAGCGTCTACTCAAATACGAGTAACCGCTAAAAATAACGTTTAAGTAATGAAAATAAGTAAAAGATTAATAAGTAAAAAGGGTTCTTTTTATTTAATCTTCCACCGATACATTTCCAGTACTCTCGATTTCCCGATAGGCAATAAATGTAATTTATGCCTTGTTGAAAAATTAGTTACCTTAAAAGACTTAAATATCCCTTGTTAAACAAGAGAAATGAATTGATGGTTAAGTGTAGGCATAAATGACCAAATTAAATTTTACAAAAATTCACAACTGTAAAATATTTTGTTTTGCATATATATATAAATCCTATTTATTTTAAATGTCAAATATAATACTGTAATTCCAGTATAATATATAACTACTCTAACTTTGAGATAACCAGTTATTTTTTATTAAAATTTAAATTACATTAGTCCACTTCATAATATATATAGGTTTACCTGGCTGCTTAGGATTAATATATATATTATGAAATGGATTAAGTCCGACAATTATTTTAATATATTTTTTTGTTTATATGTTATTTCTATAGAGACAAATATTTATGTAAATTCTCTGTTTATAATAAACAGTATTAACAACTTTTTCCAGCTTGAATGTCCGAGAAATCTCAAGGACAATATGTGTCCTCCGACAGAAATCGAACCTGTACACTAATTATATACTACACACCACGCCTACCCCACCACCGTTGTATTTATATTGCTTTTCACTTATGTCTCATAATTTTTATTTTTAACTTAAGCCCTTTTTCTTTTTTCTTGCGTTATTTTACACAATACCTACACATCTTTTTTTATTGTAAGAAAAACACAATAATTACTCATCTTTTTTATTGTAAGAGAAACACAATACCTACTCATCTTTTTTTATTGTAAGAGAAACACAATACCTACTCATCATTTTTATTGTAAGAGAAACACAATACCATCTCATCTTTTTTCATTGTAAGAGAAACACAATACTTACTCATCTTTTTTATTGTAAGAGAAACACAATACCTACTCATTTTCTCTTTTGTAAGAGAAACACAATACTTACTCATCATTTTTTATTGTAAGAGAAACACAATAACTACTCATCTTTTTTATTGTAAGAGAAACACAATACCTACTCATCTTTTTTTATTGTAAGAGAAACACAATACCTACTCATCTTTTTTTATTGTAAGAGAAACACAATACCTACTCATCTTTTTTTATTGTAAGAGAAACACAATACTTACTCATCTTTTTTATTGTAAGAGAAACACAATACCTACTCATTTTTTCTTTTGTAAGAGAAACACAATACCTACTCAACTTTTTTATTGTAAGAGAAAACCGAATTGCTTGTAACCATATGTGGCCGAATTGCTTATAAACATATGTGGTATAATTGCTTATAACAATATGTCATTAAATTGCAATAGTTTAATTATTTGTAACAATATGCGGTATAATTGCTTGTAAATGTAGGTAGTCTAATTGTTGTAACAATATATGATGCAATTGCTTGTTAAATATATGTGCCCTAATTGTGTCTGACAATATGCAGTCTCATTACTTGTAACAATATGTGGCCTAATTGCCTGTAACATTAAGAAGTTTAATTGCTTATAACAATCTGTAATATAACTGCGTCCAACCATATATTGTCTAATTGCTTGGAACTACAGGTGTTCTAAATATTTGCAACATTATATTGTCTAATTATATGTAACAATATGCGGTCTAATTATTACTAACACAATGTGGTGTAATTACCTGTAACCATATCAGGTGAATAGATTGTCAGATACCGTTTGTAATATCTGAAATGACAATACAGTTGATCTTTCTTTGAATTAAAATAAGAACGAAAGAAGACATAGTCAGTCGCTTTTATTTTTTCCTTAGCTGCTTATAAAACTGGTACCCTGGTTCCCGAGTGTTAATAAACTTAACTGATTCTTTGTTATTCCGTACAAAGACAGTATCTTTTTAATTTCAGTGTAGGAACAAAGGAGTTGGTGAGTAGATTAGGAAACATCGATATTGTATCAGTCCTGGAATGTGGCGAAAATTTCAAATGAACAAAAAATAACAATCCATTGATTTCAGCTGTGGGGAGAGATTCATTAATTAGTGGGAAAGATATTTGGTATATTGAAATATGCCTTTCGGTAAAAGCTTGTAACACACACACACGCACACACACACACACACACATATATATATATATTTAAAATTTGTGTATTTAGGCAGCCAATTCTCGTTTAGGCATGTCTGATTAAATAAATTACATACATTATGTCTGCTTATTTTTATAATAATCCTTTTGAAAGATTTTTGCTTCCCGTACCAAAATATCTATCTATCTATCTATCTATCTATCTATCTATCTATCTATCTATCTATCTATCTATCTATTTTGTTATATTCATCTGTCTCTCCATCTCTTTTGCTATCTATCTATCTATCTATCTATCTATCTATCTATCTATCTATCTATCTATCTATCTACATCTATTTCTATCGATCTATCTCAGTCTGTTCATATCTATCTATCTCTCTATCTATCTGTGCCTGTTAAAATCTATCTTGGTCTGTTTATTTCTCTCTATATATATATCGATATCTCCATATTTATCTCGCTATCTCCGTTTGTTTATTACTTTCTCTTTTTGCCTCGCTCTCTCTCTGTCTTCCCCCCTCTCTCTCCCTCTCTCTCTCTATATATATATAATTTGATATGTATAAAAATGCTCATATTTCTTCATATCTATCTATCTATCTATCTATCTATCTATCTATCTATCTATCTATCTCAGTCTGTTCACATCTATGTATGTATGAAAAATAACTTAAATCAATTATCAACTGAATTCTTCAGCTGATTCTAAATGTCATTAAACCATGACCTCTGAACTTTCCAACGTCTGTCAAAAATTACCTTAACTATAATTGCCAGGCACGCTGACATTGAGCAATAATTATATTATTGCCTATTAGGCCCGTCCGATAATAAACAAAACGTTATTTATTCGCTTTGCTAATTTAATCGAACCTAAAATATATTTTCCTTCAATAGTGGATGTCATCCTTTGAGACCAGAGACTTATAGCGCAATGTTACTTGCAAACTTATTTAAGTAAGTTTGCCAGCCCTACTCTGGGGTCTAAAGTTAAATATTTCGTTCATCAACATTATTAACTTAGGGAATAAATCGGACAGACAAAAATTGTGGCTGGTGAACAGCCGCTTGTCAATCGAGCAATTATTGGAAAAACAGCTCAATTTCTGTAACCTTTGGAATTGTCTTCCAGAGAAGAAACCTTGAAGAAAGACCGTTTGCCCAAGGATAGTAGTCACACCCTAAAAAACGGACGCCATCTTGTTACTGTGTATTTTTATGATGAAAAAGAAATCAAATACTTTGTTATTTATACTATGTTATACATTAGGAAAAAAAATTGTTAGAAACAAAGCAAAGAGTTCTGAACTGCTATATAAAATCCATGGCCTTCTATGGCTGTAGACGCGAATGAATTTCCTGACAGATGAACAGGAAACCTGAAGCAAAAAAAATGAGGTTCTAGAAAGGGATGTTGAAAATACTATGGACAGAACTTGAAACTCACATGATTCCCAGATACTTCAGTAAAGGAACCATTAAGGCGTTGAAGGTTCCTTTACTGATTTGTTTTTTTTACGGCTTATCAACCTTTTATAAGTATTTTTTAATCTTTTCACCCAAAGCAAAGCGGGAGTGTCCCAAGCACGTAAGGGGTTACAGATAGTGGGAACAAGAGTAAAGAGGTGTGGAAGGTGAAAGGATAAAGAGAAAGACGGGGAATAGATCAAGGCACCTGGAGATGTCGATTGACATTGCATGTGAATAGATGGAGATTATAGCTATCAGGGAAGCGTAAGAGGAAGGGAATTCCACGGACGGGAAGTGCTAGACATGAAGCTATTGGATTAGAAAAGACGCCTATATTTAATGTTTCGAAATGGTGGGACTGAGATGCCGATCTAGTGGCACGTTTAAATTCATGCAATCTGGGAATTAGAGAAAGTAGCTCGTCGGAGCAGTTACCGTGAAAGTATTTGTAGAAAAGACAGAGGGAGGCGACAGCACGTCTGTCAGATAGTGACTGTAAACGAGATGCCAGATCAGGGCCAATCACATTGCATATTCGTCTTTGGATTTTGTTGAGGACCCTAAAACGAACATCGGGGGCTTCAGACTATATTTGACAGCAGTATTCCATGCAAGCGGGGAATGGTTGAGTTATAGATTTGAAAGACTCGCCGAGAAAAACTTATTTAAATTTTCGATTTTGAAAATGTTGGGGATATAATAATAAATTGCTGATACAAGTCCTATTAATTAACCCATAGCTGGGGGAAGAAGAGTTGGATTAATTACATTTCTCAAAGGTATTTGCGCATAAGCGAATATAACGAATCCGACAGGAATTTGAACTCTGATATTAGATCTTCAATTGCGAGCCGCTATCCGTTACACCTACCGCACATCCAAACTTAAAGCAGCTGGTATTCCCGAGTGGGGTCCCCTGTAGATAGTAACCAGGCTCGACGTTGCTTAACTTTGAGAATCGGTGTCTCAACGTGACATGGCTGCAAGTTCCCCTCAAGACGGTATGTATGTATCTCAGCAAGGAAAACAGACCAAGATGCGAGCTAATAATTGGAGATGCTAAATTCAAACAAGAAGCGTTTTGCGGAATGATGAAAAACGTGGCACCGAAATCCGAAGGTACATTCCAATAGCAAAAAAGGTGTCTTAACTTCCACAAATTAAAAAAAAACATTAAGAAACATAGAAAATGTCGTTAGAAGCCAAGAAACGAGGTATCAACTACTCCTCCTCTAGCAGCGAATTCTTGAAGCGTTTTGAGGAATGATGAAAAACGTGGCACTGAAATCCGAAGGTACATTCCAATAGCAAAAAAAGTGACTTAACTTCCACAAACTAAACAAAACATTAAGAAAAATAGAAAATGTCGTTAGAAGCCAAGAAACGAGGTCTCAACTACTCCTCCTGTATAGCAGCGAATTCTAGAATCTTTCTTCTTCACAGATGAAGTAAAAACTTGAGACAACAGAAATGTTGTTCAGAAGAATGATGCTAAGACTACCATGGGTAGAGCCTTTAAGCATCGAAGAAGCTTTAGGAAGAATGGAAAAATTTTATGGTGTCTTCCCTCTAATGAGGCTATTGTGGACTCTTCCAAGTAGTAGGAAAGGAAACCTCGGGGAAACGGTGCCACAGCCCGTTCGGCTGTCAAATTCTCCGCCTCGGTGGAGAGAAACCCGGATGAGGCTTTGGCGAAGGGTAAAGTTTCTTCCGGGGAGGAAGAGAGGCCCTGAACCCGTTTATACGGGTTCAAATTGAATATTATTGGCCGAGCCTACGGACTCAAAAAACCTACACTAAACCATGTGCCAGATACGACCCACGTTGGGGAGCCGTTAAATATAACGGTGACACGGCCCGTTCGGCTGTCAAACTTTCCGCCTCGATGGAGATGAACACGAACGGAGCTTTGCCGAAGGGCAATGTCTCGTCCGGGGAGGTAGACAGGCCCTGAACACGTCAATACGGGTTCAAAGGGAATATTTTTGGCCGTGCCTACGGGCTCGGAGAATCCACGATAAACTCGGCCTTGTGCTACATACGACTCACACGGGGGTGGGGCGTCAAATATAACGGCGATGTAGACTGTTCTACCGAGGTTGTGACTCTTCGCAGCTCCTGTCGAACTCTCGGCCTTGGGCAGAGAGCAACCCGGACGAGGCTGTGCCGAAGGGCAGAGTTTCGTCCACGGAGGTACAGACCCGAACCCGTTTATGCGGGTTCTACGGAGTTTTTTTTTTTTTTTTATGCCGAGTCTACGGGCTCGGATGACCCACGTTAAACTCGGCCTTGTGCCACATGTACCCTCATGGGGGGGTCGCTAAATATCAACAGTGATATAGACTGAACGCTGGTCAACCGACACACATTCCCAAGACGTGTAACACTCTTCTGTTCTATTTACTGTTCAATACACTATTTATCTGCAACCTCTTGTTTTCTTATTCCTTAACCATTACTTGGTCACAAAAAAAAAAAAAAAAAAAATGAATAAGCAGTCTTAGAAACAGATGACATAGAATTCTAAGGCACAAAATGAGAAAAGAAGGTTTGGAAAATTTAACATTCTCAGGAATATACTGAAAGCAAGAGAGACAAAAGGATGCAACGATTCACTTGCCTAGGAACGATTTACATGAAAAAGTGTTACTTTCCTTAGAAGTCAAACTCTTCCTCACAACTGAAGAATTTCTTATATGGGAAACTTCTTCAAAACTCTTTTATTTATGTATTCATGATCTTAATGGATGATGACTTTAATCTATGTACTTCCAAAAACTTTCTAGAAAAGAGCATGCCATGATGAAAAAAAGTTGATAGAAATGTTTTATCGTCAAAATGTTTATGTTATTATTAAGAGGAAAAACAGAAAGTATTTTTTGATTATTTTATTAAATTTTTAAACCTTTCCAGCACGTTCGAAATTTTCGTTAAAAATCTTGTGTTTTTAAGATTTTCTTTGCGATGAAAGACGACGACCCCCTAAAAAAGGGGCGCAAATCAGCTATATTAGCAAAAAAAAAATAAAATAAAATACTTACAGTCGATTTACATTAGTTTTTGAAATACGACAAATTATTTTTCTCATTAGAAATATTATATTTAATTTATTCGCTTGAAATTAAAACTAAAATAAATGCTTCAAGAAAGAGTTTTCATTTTTTTAAATTCATTTAAAACCTTAGGTATCATTTGTTTTCGTTTCTTTTTTTTTTAGTTACTTACTTCAGTCTTCCACAAACATAGCCAAGATAGAGAGGAATCAAGCGTGATCTTCGACAGTCTTCGCCGATATTCCTGCAGAGACTGAAACACAACGGGGTTGGGTCGCCGATTTAGTGCAGACCAGGTTCGCCGGAGACGAACGGACAAAGGAAGATGGGCCAGATTAAGAGTTGCATTCATCGAAGCACTCAGAAACAGGGCCGCAGTTTGTTTTCCTTAAAAACGGAACACAGAGCCTTGCTGGACAGTGACGCTCTCTGTAGCTGAGCGGTAAATCACACCGGATCAAGCGCAGGTTTCTCTTACAAAGGGGGACGAAGGTTCGGTCCTTGCCGGAGAACACATTTTCCTGATGAACATTTTTCGAATGCACAGGCTGATAGACGTAATACGCACTGTTTAAAATAAAAATGGGACGTCTATTTCAAATACGCATTTCCACTATAATAACGTTTGAAGTAATTAACTAAGTTGAGGGAGACTTAGTTACAGTTTCTGGGAGAGATCGGATAGGTTAGAGCTAAGTACGTGCCGACTTAGCGTTTTAAAATCATTCGGTGTGCCAACAGCATACGTATTTTTATGCAAGTCATGGTCAATATGCTTGTTCGACAATATATTTTATATAGTAATATATACTATATAGACTTCAGTATATATTAAAATTGAAACAGCTAAATATCTTTGCGTTGTAGTGGTTATTGGTTTGGATTTCATGATGTCATTTATGGCAGCGTGCCATTGGAAATGGCTTGACGTGCCAAATGTGGCACGCGTGCCGGAGGTTGCCAACCCCAGGTGTAGAGCGATCTATTTCCTGAAAAAGACCAGCACGTTAAAATCCTCGGTCACGACGGGTTGTGACTTCGTGCTCGGACAGTCGTCGACGTCCGCCAAACGATTCCATCTACCCGATTTCAATCACAAGGACTGGGTCAAACCGTGCTATGGTTTTCAGGCACTTTACAAAGGTGGCGACTGGTGGGGTCGCCTCCCCATACCGGTATA